CTCACCCGTTCCAGATAATTAGCTTAGTAGGATTATTGTTACATGTACAGCAAGTAGGTTTTTTGACATATTAATCAGTAGCACCTGGCAGAGATAATGGCTTAAGAGCCATCAGCGCTAGACAAATGGTCACTCAGTCTAGACAAAATGAAATAATTTTTGTCCGGAGCTTATACATTGTCACACCCTCGGATTGCATGTTTTACCGTTCCAGATAATTAGCTTAGTAGGATTATTGTTACATGTACAGCAAGTAGGTTTTTTGACATATTAATCAGTAGCACCTGGCAGAGATAATGGCTTAAGAGCCATCAGCGCTAGACAAATGGTCACTCAGTCTAGACAAAATGAAATAATTTTTGTCCGGAGCTTATACATTGTCACACCCTCGGATTGCATGTTTTAAAATACTGGTGGGCTCAAATCTTGCAATCTGGTCCAATCAGGGGAGCATTTCTGAGCACTGAAGTCAAAAGATACTCAGCATGAGCATGAGGATCCATCTAGGTAGCTCCAATTGTGGTCTTGGGACCTGCCTTTGTCCTTCCATGACTAACTCTGGCCCAAACTATGTATAATGCACAGCTGATTTTTTAAAATACGACCACTAAAAAGAACACACGTAAGTTCGAAGCTAGACCTGGGTCTCTAGAAAGGCAGAGCTCATGGGTGTTTTCATGTCACCCTGCAGACACTAACCCAACCAGATGTGGTACTGAATTTCAAAGGGAGAAAGTTTCAGAGGGGGAGCAGAGTTAGCCTGTAACTGGAAAAACTTAAAAAACAACGAATAGTCTTGCAGCACCTCAGACACTACTAAAAATGTAGATGGTTTCACAACCCATGAAGTGCCCACGAAAGCTCATGATCCCATCTACATTTCTGCTTAGTCTCTAAGGCACTGCAAGAGTACTCCTTGTTTTTTAAGTTTTTCAGCCGAGGCACTTCTGTAAGGCAGGCCTGAAAGCAGCGCACACGGCCCCTTGGTGGCGCTACTGCTGCACACAGGAACCATTCCCCAGCTGTTTTCGCTGGAGAGAGGAGAATTCAGTCACCCAGAGGTTGAGTTTGGTTTGCGTTCTGGTTGGAGCAGCTTTGCGCTTTGGGTTGGCTTCAGGGAGGGTGTTGTCGTGCAGGAGAGAGGGCGAAGGGAGACGCTTTGGCGATACAGAGAGGAATGGCGAGGCAGCAACAACAGGAGCAAGCCAGCGAACCATTTCTTGGCCTAGATCTGGAGCGATGGCTATTCATTACCTTGTTGTCCAGCCTGGGCCTGGGAGAGCAGGAACTGAGGAATGGACTGAACAGGGCCAGGCACCAGTACAAGCTGCTGCAGGGTGTGAAGGGAACTCATATCCTAATGAAGAAACAGTGCGGATCAGATGCGTCGGCCCTGCAAGCAGCCCTCACAACTTTCCCCATCCCCCCTTCCCCTTAGTTGCACTTAACACCCCCTCCACTTCCCCCCCTTACCCTCCACCCCACTTCTCCCTTCAACCACAGCAGACGGCAGCTCAGGTGTGGTAACTTCATCCTCCCCCCTCCAACACCCGACAGCTGCACTCCCGGAGCTGCCTGACGTTTTTCACCCAAACCTTGTTCAATATTGAATTTTTGCGTACAGGGAATTTTTTTCCTTTGTCAAAAAAACAAACCTCCAAACTCTCAATTTCTCTCAGTCAACTGACATCTGGAGTATCGCGTCCAGTTCTGGGCCCCCCACAACAGAAAGGACGTGGACACATGGGAGAGGGTCCAGCGGAGGGTGACCAAAATGATAAGGGGGCTGGAGCACGTGACCTATTAGGGAGTTGGGCTGATTTAGTCTATAGAAGAGAAGAGTGAGGGGGGATTTGATAGCAGCCTTCGACTACTTGAAATGGGGTTCCAAAGAGGATGGAGAGAGGCTGTTCTCACTGCTGACAGATGGCAAAATGAGGAGCAATGGTTTCAAGTTACAGTGAGGGAATCTAGGTTTGATATTAAGGGAAACTATTTCCCTAGGAGGGTGGGGGAGCACTGGGATGGGTTCTCTAGGGAGGGGGTAGAATCTCCATCCCTAGAGGTTTTTAAGTCTCGGCCTGACAAAGCCCTGGCTGGGTTGATTGAGTTGGGGTTGGTCCTGCTTTGGGCAGGGGGCTGGACTTGATGACTCCTGAGGTCTCTTCCAGCCCTAAGATTCTAGGATTTTTTTAGTTTAAAAGTGAAACATTTTGGTTTTCAGATGCCACCTCCTCCCCCCCCAAAGAACAATGAAAACACATTACTGAAGGGAAGAAGGAGAGGGGTTCAGATTTTGACAAAAACTCAGAACATGCAGAAAAATGCCAATTTCAATACAAATGAACAAAAACAAAATTTCGGTTTTGCTTGGAAACCAAATCCCCATTTCACATTTGGCTCTCGACTGATTCTGGGGAGGAGCAAGGTCTAGGACTGTGAGTGGTGATGATGTCCACCTGAGCCTAATAGATCTTGCTTAATGCTGCTTAGCAGGTGAGAACTCCCAGCCCCCACCCAGGGCTCTGACAATACACACAGGGTGGGCGGGGGGGGGGGGGTGCACTTCCTACAGACACCTCAATCACCCATTACACCCCCATGTGTCCTAGCTCAGACTTCTTGGGCGACTTTGCCCATAGGTGGCTGGACGTAGGGGGGAGGGAGTGTGTGAAATTCACAAGGTCTATGCACCAGCTAAGCACGTAAGGATCAGTTAGCTACATCCTTGGCACCTGCCTTTGGGGTCAGAATTTAAATGCAGAATTCAGCAGACAAGGAGCACCCAGTGTAGGGGACCATAAGTGGTGTCTAAAGCTGGGTCTGCCCTGGGGGAGAAAAATCAATACAAGATATGCAACTCCAGCTACGTGAATTATGTACCTGGAGTCGGCGTACCTTGCATCGATTTTTTGGGGTGGCCCCATAGAAAGAGGGAGGTCGATGGAAGAAACTCTTCTGTTGGCATCCCTCACTCCTTGCAGTCGTGAGTTGTTCTGGGATCAACAGGGGCACCCTCAGCGTTTGATTTAGCGGGTCCATACCAGACCTACTAAATCGAATGCCAGAAGATCAATCTCTGGAGGGTCGATCAGTGTAGATGTGCCCTAAAAGTCTTGGGCAAGATCTCTCTGCTGGGGATAAATTTAACCCTTTCATCCCAGGTGCAAGCATAAGGGAGGAGATTTTAGAAAGCACAAACAGCATTTAGGCATCGAATGCTCATTGGAAGTTAAATGAGAGTTAAGCACCTAATTGCTACATGAGCCTTTGAAAAATCTCCCCCAAGGAACACATTCCATCTCGGGCATAACTTGACTAACATCGATAGAGCGACACTAAAGATGACTCTGATCCTTGCAAGGCAAATTGCACCAGGATTCACAGTTTCTGCCTCTGGAATCCTTCTCCACTGCCATACCAAAAGGCATGCCTAGCCCAGCACTTCTTTGAAACGGCTGTCAAGCAATGAATGCTCCAGACCAGTGGTGGGCAACCTGCAGTCTGTGGACTGTATGTGGCCCATCGTGGTTCTGTGTGTGGCCCACGAGACATTTTGCATATCATTGCCCATGTGCAAGGCAGACAAAGTTTTTCGGCAACATCGTTTTTTTCCTATCTGTATTACTAAAGCAACACACACAAAAAACCAGGGCACACTATGCGAGGTGCATGCTGATTGCACACAACAGTGACTATGAGAGCTGTGCACACCCTCTGCATCCAGTCAATGTGCTGTATGGTTCAACAGGCATATCCTGCAAATTCTAGGTACCCAAGCGCAGTGAGCAAAACCACTCTATCCTGTCTTGGTTATGACAACCTTGCGGCCAAGTGAGACCAAGGAGGCAACACTTGCAGCCCACTCACTAGCCCAGGTTGCCCCTGACTGCTCTAGAGCCATGCCATGAAAGCATTCTTGAGGCTGCTAAGCCACTTACCCCTGCAATTTGGCTTCCGTGCATCATTGACGATCCATGTCCTAGGTGGCCGGATCTGGGCTGTACTGGAGATTGCAAGGAGTCGCTGAGGTCTTCGGTTTTAATCTGCAGAGGAGAGGAGGCCAGATGGGTCAGCAGGGAGCATGTGCAGATGACATGGAGTCAGAAGAAGTTGAAGAAGATGCAAGCTCAGAGTTTGAGAAACCTTGAGTGGATCCTCTCGATTGTCCCCATGCTCTGCATCCCACCAACTGTGATGTCACGTAATCTGACTCAGGTCTTCTAGGTTCCATCCCTGGCTTTGCAGCCATGTCTGTGAATTTGGACTAGTCACTTCTCCATTCAGCCTCAATATCCCCACCTGCCAAGTGGGTGCAAGTCTACTGACCTGCTTGACCAAGGGAAGGTGCAAGGTGTCTTTAATTAAAGGCCCTCTAATTAAAACACTTACGTTCCACTGACTGCAATGCTGCTTCATGTTAAATAGGTGTGTAAATAGTGTGATGAAACAGGGCCCCGAAACATTTTGTGGATCTTGGAAGAAAAACCCCAGAAGGAAGTATTAACACAACAGGGAACACATGGAAATTAGTGGGGTGGCTGAGTCACTTTCTAGGAACAGCGTCAGCTGCACCCTTCTGTATTTCTGGTTTCACTGCTGTTCCAGAGGCAGCAACAAAGCACATGAAAAGCAGCCGCATCTGACAGTGGTTGCCAGCCTGAAATTCACCAGTCCTGGCTCTAAATCTGCTTGCCCCCACTGATAATGGAAGAAGAAATCCTATTTGATTTGCCCAGCAAAAGAGAGAGAGAAAAAAGAAGCAATCATATTTGATTTGCCCAGCAAAAGGGGAAAAAACATTATTTGCCCAAGCAGGTAATGAGCATGTTGAAGATTGTATTGGAGTCACCCCCAAAACCTCTTGTTCTGCTTTAAAGTTCAGGCAAGACTCAAACCCAAAAGACCTTGATTTCTAAGCCAGGAACTTGGCCAGAGATCCATCCTGGGGCTTTGAGTTTGTTCTGTTCTTTGGTCTCCACTTTAATTTTTATTGTCGCTGCTCCAAAACAAGACAAAACCCATTGCTTCTCATTGTGTGGGATATACCTTAACATAAGAACGGCTGTCCTTGGTCAGACCAAAGGTCCATCTAGCCCAGTAGCCTGTCTCCTGCCATCCTTCTCCAGCCTCTGACAAACAAAGGCCAAGGACACCATTTTATCCCCTGGCTAATAGCCTTTTATGGACCTAACCTCCATGAAATTATCTAGCTTCTCTTTAAACTCTATTATAGTCTCAGCCTTCACAGCCTCCTCTGGCAAGGAGTTCCACAGATTGACTTCACGCTGTGTGAAGTCTGGAGCCCCCATGGGATGGACAATAGGATTTTGGAGCGCAAAGAGAAAGGAATGCTCCCACTTAAACATGGGAGGCTGCGGTGAGAACACATCAGGTTACGGTCTTGCTTATACTCAGCTGGAGGGGATTATGGAGTGTACGTATAGGGATCCGAGAGAACTTTTTAGCCTCATTGAATCAGGTCTTTTCTTGAAATGGATCCAAGTGGCAAAATTCTGATCCAGAGCAAAACCTTCCCCAAGCTTGAGGGCACTGGATCTGGGGTCCTAGTTTGGGTCCTCTCAAGAGACAGTCCTGATCCAGTTCTAACCTTTCCCAAGCCATGAAAACGCTATGCTTTGGCTCAGGGATGTGGGCTATCACTTGGAATCTGGGTTGGATCTTGCCATCAGCAGCAGTTAATGACAGAATCTAGTATCACTGAAGAAACAAAACCTTTTCATCCTCCAGTATTCTGGGGTGCTAGTTCCAACAGGGAGTAATACAGCCCCCTACCAGCAGAGAAAGGCAAGAAACACAGTTTCCCCTCAAACAATAAGCAACACACACTTTTTTTCAGCGGCAAGGACTTTTCTTACAGATTGAGGAAAAACAACAAAGAAAGAACAAATATAAAGGTCCCTGTAAGAGAGAGAAAACACAATCTCTCTCACTCTGAACTGAAGCATATAAAGGAAGCTGCCCCCATAAAGATCAATGTTCACATTTCAAGGAGTAATAGACAGACAAAAACAGAATTGCAACATCTCTTGTAGGTCATATGCTGTAGTTACGAACACTAGCATACTATGCAATTTTAACTCTTTCCAATGACAGCTCTATCAGCTAAGTCATCTGGTTCTTTCCCGCTTCTCAGGAGGGAGTGCTCTACTAATTAGATGGTAAGAACTTTTGATCACTACCAATCATTCTGCATTTGAGTTGGTGACCATCAAACGAAAGGCCTCATGGAACGCATCATTTGCTCTTTGTTGAGCCAGTTACTTAACTCTTTCACCCTCTCCAAGCGCTTTCCTTCCTGAAGGTAGATGTATCCGAAACAATCCCATTTTTTTTAAAAGTCACCCCTCCTTGCAATCACTACAATTAAAAGATCCAGCAAACTACTAAGGGACTCATGTATCTGTGGCTTACGTGACTCAGGAAGCCAAACACAAGCAGCCACTGCGCGCAAAACTACCCTGTCAACTAAGACCGAGGGGTTTTCTCCTGCGTGAGATGCAATCCCAAGTGGAGCCAAGCATCCAAGAACCACAAGCCCTTTCCAAACTGCAATCAATGTTTACAGCTGCTGAACGGAACGCTTTGGACGTATTCCAGGAAGAAAAGGGTGTGTAGCTGCATCCCAACAACACAAAGTGAGATCAACAGATGAGGTTGGCAAAAAACAACAAAAACAAAAGAAAAAAGAAAAGAAAAAGAAAAATCCGTTTTCTAAATTGGAACCAACATCTCCAACATCTTGTCCCATCCCCCCCACCCCCACTTTCTGGAATGTGCCAGCTTTCTCCCGAGAAGATGGGAAGGAGAAATTATTCTCTATTGCACCTTAGTTTGTTAATTTGAGACACAAATGTAAGCTCTCTCTCCCCCACAAACTTGTTGTTTGTGATGTATCCAAGTCACAAAGCTTGGGATATTTATGCAGCTCCTTCCACCTTAGGTTCCTCCAGAGAAAACGTTATAGTGTTTCCAGTCTCAAGCCTTCAACAACAATGAATCAGGCTCCCATCATGAGATATTAAATCATCATATTTTTACCCTTCTGGTTTCTGAGTGCACCTGGGTCAGGTTTTCAAGCATTTTCACCATAATCAAGAGAGCTATAAAGCTAGCTTTCAAAAAAATGCAAGCAGAGATTCTCACATAATCCCCTGACTCTGGAAGCTGGAACTTTATGAAAAAGCAGCAAGTCCTGTATCCTGTGATAAAGTCTGTGTCACAGCTCTTGTGATTATAAGCAAGAGAGCAAAATGAAAGTCGGATTGGGCTGAGTTTCTCGGGGGGGGGGGGGGGTGTGTGCGGAAGTCAAGGTAGATGAGGAAAACTGAACAGAAAAGTGGTAGGGAGAAGGTTGGTTTTCCTCTTCTCCTGCGTTAAATTCAGGGAAACGATGCAATCTGCCCGGGAAAAAATGCAATGGCACAGCAAACTCTTTGGAATATACTCACTGTGCCTCAACCCACAAGGGGATGAAACAAAATGTTGTGCCACAAACAACAAATGCTACTAAGATACAAATCATTCACATCTGGAGGAGGGACTAGAGCTCTTTTAGATCTTCAAAACAATAGCTACTTAGCACTTAAGAACATCAGAACGGCCAAACTGGGTTAGACCAAAGGTCCATCTAGCCCACTCCCCTGTCTTCTGACAGTGGCCAGTGTCAGATGCCCTAGAGGGAGTGAACAGAACAGGATCCATCCTCCGTCATCCATTCCCAGCTTCTGACAAACAGAGTCTAGGGACACCATCTCTGCCCATTGATGGACCTATCCTCCATGAATGTATCTAGCTCTTTTTTGACCCTGTTAAAGTTCTGGACTTCACCACATCCTCTGGCAAGGAGTTCCATAGATTGATTGTGCACTGCATGAAGAAAAACTTCCTTTTGTTTGTTTTAATCCTGCTATCTGTTAATTTCATTTGGTGACCCCTAGTTATTATGTTATGGGAACAAGTAATTAACTTCTCCTTATTAACTTTCACCACACCAGTCCTGCACTTGAACTTAAGGGGATCTCTTAGGGCTCCTATAATAGTAAGGCAATTATCCTCTTTGTGATCCACTATAGGGTGACATGAATACATGCATGAAGTGACTGCACTGAAGGATTATGGGGGTGCAGGAAGGGAATTGCTTCTGCAAATATCATCTAGATGTTCTCCCTACCTTGATATAGTTTGTTTGGGGGCAACCAACCCCAAGTGAAAAGCAAATGGAGACCAAGCTGATTTAAAGGAGATCTCTTCCCTCGTTAGCTAATTGATCCCTTCCCTGGCTGGCTGCTTGGGTCTGCTCACCCCAACAGCCAAACCGAATCCTGGTGGGAAAGAAAACCAAACAAAGCAAAACCTAACAAAAACAAATGGTGGGTGATAGAAAATGATCAAAGCTGTTTGGCTTCCTTGTGTAATCCATCCACGGAAGGTGTTACATAAACATTTCACAAGACGGAGAATTATGAAGCCAACGTCTCCCAACCTGCCTGCAATTACTGCACAAACTCTTCCTTACCCGTAGAGAGAAGGTTAAAAAAAAAAAAAGGAGAACACATCTGTTTTGTAACCGATCTATAAACATTTGGCAAAGGCTCTGCTCATGAAAACATCCTGGAGACATCCTGCAAGCTGTGAAAGACCGGGCTCACGCAACGCGGTTAGAAAAGAGCAAGCTAGCAGCTCAGATCCTACAGGATAAAAGCTATGTCCTTAACAGCTAGATGGCCAGATAACTAGGAAGGCAGGTCAGTCCTATGAGCTGCATGCTGGAGTCCCAGTGCTGATCTCAACACCCACACTATCCAACTCCTCGTAAAACACGGCCTCAGCTCCTCTTTCTTAGCATTGCTGAGGCAACGTGAGTGCTCTTCCATCACCCTCTTGGCAAGGTGGGTTTGTATTTACTACGAGTGGGGAATCCTTAAAGGATTGGGTGTGACGGAGCACCACCAATCTGGATGCTTCTTCTAATCAACCAGACCAGAGCAATAATATTAATAACTTTGCAATTTCCATTCCCACG